AGTGAAGCTCATTGCTTTTAGTAGAACTATTTGGTGCAGGTTAAACCAGTGTGTAAGTCTTTGCTGGACTGGAGGCTTCACTGGCAATATAAAGTCCTGATCAGAGGTCTGGGAGAGTCCACATCTGTCCCCTCACCCTCCGCAGAGTTTCAACGGATATGAAATATCTATTTGCTGTTAAAGCCCTCAATGCAACACCGAGCAGTTTTGTATTTTTAAGTCCTAAGTACCACCATAATCACTCATTACCAGAGATTATGATTAAGTAAGAGATTACAAAACAAGTAGTTCTGCGAGCAGCAGAACTAAGACAGCCTGGTTTCATACAGCTTTGATGTCTTCCACGTGTCCCCAGTACCCTTTGCCCCGCTGCGGCACCTCGCTACAGCATCTCCTTCCCCCAATAACACCCCCCTTCACCCCCTGGATCCCCCCTGCCTGGTCCAGCAGCGGGAGGCCCCGCAGCCAAGGGGCTGGTGGTCAGATCGGGACCCCCACCTGCTCAGCGAACCCACCAAACGCTGCCATGGGGCCGCACAAACAGCTTAGGGGGTTGCTTGTAAGCCCAGTGTTGTACAATCTACTGTACAACCTCAGCGTGTTGGAGGCCTGTCAAATTTAGCTGAAATCAGTTCAGAGTTCAAAGACTACGAAGGAAGAAGAAAGAGCCCACGTGAGTCTCGTTTCACAAACACAACAAATCTTACAGAGAAGCCTCGTTTCCTTGGGAAACCACATTAAAAATAACAAACATGTTTTTATGCTGCTGTTGTAAGGCAAAGTTTTGAGAACACGTCTCAGATATCTTGAATCAAGACAAATATTGACATCAAGGTACAGGCAAATTTAGTATAATTTAAAAAAAAAAAAAAAAAAAAAGAAAAAGGAAAAAACTCATGGTGTTGTATATCCAGTATCACAACACGGCTTTTTTCACACAGAAATAATCCAGCTGTAATAGTTGTGATAATGAAGTGTTAATGGCAGCACAGTGCAACTTTCTCTTGTGTGAAATCTGATTTCTGAAGTCCGCCTTGGGAAAACAGGCAGTCCCTGTGATACAGCAAAACGCTGAATGGACTGAAGACAGAGGGCCCTTTCAGCCAGCTTTGATGTTGGCAGGACAGCTAGTACCGTTCATCAAAAGCAAAAACATCAAACTATCTAGTTGCCATTGTTTAAATCTTGCAGATAAATACTCACATGGAGTGCTCCCGCTATCAGCTCCGCTCCACTTGTGCCTATATCATTAAACATCAGGTTAAGGTGCTGCAGAGCCGAGTTCTCCTTCGGAACAAACAGAGCAGAAAGCGGTGAGACTTTGTGCCAAAGCATGCCTGCGCTCTTCAAAGACGAGATGTGTCGTACACGTACGTACAACCTCTGTCCTTTGCTGCATTTCAGGCAGCCCCTGGTTTGGAGAAGCAGTTAAATGCCAAAGTATGTCAGATGATGAGGGAAAGGCAGAAAAACATGTAGCATGTAGGTCCTCACGGGGCTTGCAGAGCCACCTAGGAACCCACGTGCTCAGCATGACCAAACGGGCAGGTGGTCAAGCTCGGAGGCAGAACTTCAGGCATTTCCTGAACTTAATGGCCCTCCCTGAGCTCCAGGAACATCGGCAGTGAGTGGCAACTCACCAATTTCCATCTGTAGTCCAGTGCTTACAGTGACAGAAAGGCAGCATTAAAGTTTCCTATGTTTAGACCCACAAAAAAGGCTAACAGAGATGATGAAGTATCTAAAACAAAGGCCCTGGCACACTTGACACTACCATTAGCTCCTTTGCTGAACTGAGCTGTAAGCCTAAAAGCCCCACAGTTTTCTCCACCGGTCCTTCTTCAGGACACCCTAGCCAAATGTCCAATGGTTTTCTACCAGAAATTAAAAACCTCCCCAGAGAATACAATCTGAGATTCTAGTAGGACGGATTTGGATGTGAAAGCCAAATTAATGGAATTTCGCCAAACAACTGCATTCTTGTCCCCAGTACGCCAGATATGAATATTATCATAGTCAAATAAACTACGAGTTGCTGAAAGACAAACATTGCTTTGGCACCTGGAGGAATGTTGCCATGTGCTTTGCTCCAGCATCAGTCACTACGTTACACCTAAGGTCCAAACCTGAAAAAGATGAAGAAGAATGTGACATATGTGTATCTACAATTAACGGATCTCTAAACAAAAAGAAACAAAGACGAACTAAGGCTGAAATCAAGACTCCTTATGTTGTCTCATGCAAGCACAGTAACGTCAAACACCCACCAAAAAAGCTTACCTGTGACAAACGCAGTATTGCGTAAGACAGAGACAAGAACTTGAAGATCGTCGTCTGTCACTCTCTGCACAGGCACTAGATGATTGTTTCCAGCTATTTTTAACATGATCCCTTTCGTCCATCTGCTGTAACATAAAAATGTAAGCACATGGGGAGAAGTAAAATGACACAGAAACATGAATTCTCTCTGCAGATGAGAAGTGTAGCTGTGCTTGCCCTCACTGGCGCGTTTGCACGCTGTTAGCTGCTGCCACTGCCCTCGGTAACCCCATGACAGACGACATGATTCAAGCTGTACCTCAGCACTGACCTTTTTGATATTCTGAAGACCCTGCACAGCTGCAAGACCACGCTTAGCACCCATGCACAGAGAGCAGGAAGAAGCAAGATGAGGGGAAGGCAGATGGAAGTAAAGACTATCCTGGATGTTACCTCATCATCTCCTTTTTACTTGTTCCCTTTCCTTTATTTACTCTGTCTTGCCCTCAGGATCAAAACCTAACACAAACCATGTCCCTACGCTGTAGTTTCCCAGGTTTTCTCTCCAAAGGACAACTAACTTTGACCCCATTAGCATCCATGAGAGGAAGCCCTACCTAGCTCTACAGAATGAGAGAGAGACTGAGTGGTTAATACCTTGGCAGGATTCAGAGACAGTTCAGGGAAGCATTACCAGCTGGAGGCCAAATGGACACAGCTGAGGCTTTTTAAACAGGAGTGAGACAAAAGGAAGGAGTTAGGCTGACTAGACACTGGGTTTGGCTTCTCTAAGGGACACAAAGGCACCATCCTGCACATTTTTCACTTTTTTTTTGATTTCACTGCTTGTAAAGCTGCCCAGAAGGGATATATAGCTGCAAACTTCTGCCAAGATGATGTCAAGATGAGTCAAACCAGAACTTCAGCAGTAAATGCTAAATATGATTTGTGTTTAAGCCTGAAACTGCATGAACTTTCTCACTGTTTAATTCCTCATCCTGCTATCTTCTTTAAGTCTTTTAGAAGCATCTGAAACATGCTGTTTGTTATTTCCTTACATTTTATCATTTTCATCAGCTTCTTGAAGCACATGAGCAACGAAGGGGTTTCCAGGTTGGCCCAAGTTTTGGCAAGCTCCCACATAGTGCTGGTGAAGATCCGGACGAACTGACATGACCTGCTGGAAAACAAAACAAAGCGTTACTGCATCTTGCCGGCAGCCTAGCAACATCACCACGGACCCAAGCGCTGCTGTGCCAGGCTCTGCATAACAATAAAAACAGGCTTGGTCTGAAAAGGGTTACAACTCCTGGTATGCAACACAGGAATGACAGATAGATACAGACAGGAAAAGCACAAGCAAAAAATGTGGATTTGTGGATGTTTCCTACACCATCCCATAGGATCTGAGCTGACAGAGAATTAATATACGTACAGGCAGGTCCTTTTTCCCTGTGAAGCAGCTGGGACCCCCCCTCCACAGGCCTACCTGAGCGATCGGCGCCTGCACCCTGGGGAGCTCTGCCTGGTTACTAATGTTTGGTAGCGAAGCCTGTTTCCAAGGAGGGTGTCCCAGGCCCTCCACCAGGAGGGAGCGGGTGAAGGCAGCCATGCCTAGCCCTGGGCCCTGGCAGGAGGCCCCGCTGCCACCCCACCTCCGTGCAGTGCTGAGCCCTCCCCGCGGAGGAGGCCTGGCCCAGTCTGCGGTACCCAGCCTCTGCGGGGAGCGGAGTTCCCCCAGCTCACCCCCAAAGTCTTTACTTAGTGGTCTGGCTGTGGTCTCTGTGGAGCCTTTGCAAAAATGTCCGTGGTTACACAGATTAGCTGTTACTCCAAAGGTGCGTGTGCTGGTCCTTGCCACCAAATAAATCCTTCCATTGGCTTCACTACCGCCTGGGTACGCAGGAGGGGGTGGGCTGAGATCGCACGCTCTCCGGTCGCACAGTGTGTGGTGCTCAGTCCCGAACTCAGAGCCAACAAAAAAGGAAGTACCCTCGTGCAACATCAGGATTAGTCTGGGACGCCCAGCTCACGGGTGGTTGCTCGGTTCTTCTTCCTTGCCCTGGTGACACCTGGAGACAGCTCATCTCTGGAAATGTGATGTTGTCCCAGAGCAGTTACGGCAGCAGAGAAAAGGGCATCAGGTGGGAGATGACTGACAGCTGCCGGCTGACCTCTGCTTTCTCCTTTGTCATTCTTTAAATGCCAGCTGGAAGGTTTCTTCCATCCAGACATCAGAGGGTCATCAGGTAGTCGCCCCTTCTCACCTCTCACTCTTTTGCTATCAGCAATAGTACAACTTTGAGGGTTATCAAATATCAGATTCGCTGACATCTCCGTGACTCAGAAACCACTAAGTGTTACAAAAGAAGGTGCCACTTTTTCACAACAAGGCTCTTCCAGTTTTCCAGTCAGCACGGCTGAAGACGGATCTCAGTCAGTGTTTGTAAATATAGGCCTTCAAGAATCAAGGATGTTGCTTTGTCCAGCTCCCCTGACTTAACAAGGTGACCCTCCAAATTTGGCTGTTGGGGCACTTTGGGATGCACAGGGATTCAAACCTGTCGTCCTGCTGTATGTGCTGCAGGTTTTGATCTCAATGAACACAAGCAGCTTTTTGCAGGGGTACAACTGAGACTAGAACCCATCTCTAAATGCTGAATTCTTCCAGTATTTATTTAGCATAGTCTTTGAGTACTATTGATTTTTTTCTCTTCTGAAACTAAGAATAAGGAGCAGAGATGGCCCGGTCTCAGCGGAGCCAGGAAGCCAGCCCAGGGGACACTCACTGCCCTGAACCTGACCGTTGGTTTCGAGGATGACCATGTTGAGACTGCACAAGAAATACCAGTGAATGAAGTGTCAGAGAATGAAGCTCTTTCTCCCATACATGTCACAGACAGGATATCTTTTATTGATTTAGCCAATAAGCAACTCCAAACCATCTCTCCAGAGGTCTTGAGTCTAGAATATCTGGAGGAGCTGCATATGGAAAAGAACCAAATTACAAGCATCCCCGGTGACATCAATTGCCTGAGGCACGTGAAGATCCTCTACTTGGACCAGAATCACATAGAGGACATACGTGAAGACCTAGGGGAACTGCAATGTCCTCTGAGCTCTGATTTAAGTAACAATGCCCTCTCCTGTAGTTCGCTGCCAGTTATCAGCAAGTTGCAGTCCCTTCATCAGCTCAGGCTCTATAAAACAAACTCGCACGAAATCCCAGTGTAGATCTGCGAGTACCTCACCCACGTTGAACTGCTTGGCCTTGCTGACAATCATCTCAAGTGTCTGCCTAAAGAAATAGTGAACCTGACAAAACTGAAGGAAATTTACCTCCAGAAAAATAGGTTTGGAAGTTTTCCCAAGGAGCTTTGTCATATTGCTAATTTAGAAATAGTAGATCTGGAATAAAATCTAATCAGTCTCATCCCAGAAGAGGTAGGCTTTTTGACAAACTTAGTTTAAGCTATTTTTAGCTTTTAATAACTTATCCTCCATTCCTCCTACACTGCAACACTGCCAGAAGCTGGCTGTGCTGGATCTGTCTCATAATCTCCTGCACAAGCTTCCCCCAGGTTTGAAGAATCTCACTGAAATGAGAGTGCTCAGACTGTCTGCTAACAGCCGGGAGAAGTTCCCACACCAGATTTGCTGCTGGCTATCCCTTTCCCGTGTTTATCCGAGGAACACTGGACTGTGCACAGTACCCAGGTCCTTTAACAGATTAACCGCTGTCAGGATGCTGGATCTAATTGAAAATTGCTTTGCTGATATTCCTAAAGGAATATGCACTATGAAAAACCTGGAAGTATTGGCCCTGGATGACAATCAGATACGGGAGGTGTTTGTTCCTTTGTTTCCATTTTTATTTTATTGATACCTCCCTTTTGCAAAATCTAAGTCCTTCATTACAAGTGAGTGCCACCTTTCCCTGCTCCAGTGAGAAGGTATGTTCCACCTGGTCTGCACCTGAGCCTGGGTTACTCATTATCTCTGGCATCTGAGTATTCAGGCACGGAGAGAATAGCAAGAACGTGGAAACACTGACCTTTGTGTCATCGTAAAGATGAAACACTGACTGGAGGGATTGCTTCAGTCTTTCTGTGTCTTTTTTTCCGTGTACACTGGAAAATAAGAGCTGCATTCATGTAGAATCAGTATGTCACAAACTGAAACAGAGCAGAGGGCAATTTAAAACCAGATACGATGTTGTTAATGCCTTTAGCACCATTAACATTTGCTGTTCTTTTGGTAACGAACAATTATGTACCCCGAAGCTGTGTTATTATAAGTGTAGTGGTATCCATGGACATACTCATTCCTTTTCATATAATGCAACACTTCTTTTCTGAGGAGATTTTCACTTGTGCAATTTTCTTTTTGAAGGTTACATTTACAGAAGTATTAATTTATACAAAAGAATCACTTTCAGATTTCATTCCTTTAAATTACTCTCCCCTGCACTGTGCACACAAAGGAAATGAAGAAGCAGACTAACGATTCTGCTAAGAAATAAAATTAACCCCAGAAGAAATCTTTCCTGCAGAGGAAACAACATGGATTTTTTGCCAAAATTTCTACCACACTGTGAGGCATAATGTTATATTAATGAGCAGAATATTCTGTGTTCATCCATCAAACAGTAATGCAGCTCCACAACATTTTCTTGGAGATTTTTTCCCTAAAAAACAAAATCCCCAAAATTACTATTTAATTGACATAATGTATCTTTCTAATGACTGTGTCTAGGTACCTGCAGAGATGAAAGAACTGACAAATTTGAAATGCCTTAGCCTGTCTGAAAACGAATTCGGTATCTTTCCAAAGGAAATCTTTCTCCTGGAGCCAGTAGAGAGATTATACCTGGGACAAAATAAAGGAATTAAATTCACAAGCCTGCCAGAAGACATCATCAAATTTCAGGTAGGAGCAATAGAAGGGAGAAGATCTCGGTTTGCTGTGGCATGGCACCTCTGCAGACTTCAGCTGCTCCCAAACACAGGACTGAAGGATCTCCTAAACTCTTTAGGTACACGGTGCAGCTCCAGGCCAGGGCTGTCAGCACAGGAATAATATCAAAACTCAGCATTTGAAACTCACGTTGCCTCTTTGTGTTTAGCAGTCATCCCAATGGTATCTCAGTTTATAACCTTACTTCTGCACTTACTGATATTCTCAGCACGTTGGTTGTATGTCAAACTAAGGAAAAATCCATTCATTATTAGAACTTATGCACACGTATTCTCCAGAATCTGAAAGAACTGCATATGGAGAATAATAGTCAGTAGTACCTGCCTGCAGCCATCAGCTCGTCGACCCACTTGAAAATACTTGACTGTCGCAACGATCTCCTTAAACAGCTCCCAGACTCTGTTTGCCAAATACAAGGTGAAAAACAGTCTTTGTGTTGTGGCCTTAAGGACACAAGTACCAGTAAGGATTTTGGAAGACAGAGGGAGAGAAGAGAAGGAAGGAATGCAGTGCATCGTTCAGGGCTCATCCTGTAATTGTAATGGAGCCAAGGAGGGTAAAAGTTAGGAACTGGGAGGGTGGGGAAAGCGCTGTACCCAAGCCAAGTGGACAGGAGGTCCTCACCCATGACCTGCCTCAACCTTAGCGTCTGGGGAAAAAGATGTTTCCCAGAGCTCAGCTCAAAGCAGACTCCCTGATGTGAGAAGACCCACTGGGTCAGCACCAGTGACTCCAGGGCGGTGGTGTGGAGCAGGCTCTTTGGGGGTGCTCCCCAGCCCACTCTCCCCAGTTCTCCCTTGCATCTCTGTGTGGCTAAGTTCACTAGCACTGTTGGTGTGCCAACTGGCAGGACTTTTGAAAGCCAAACTAAGCCACCTGGCTGCCAGGTGGATAGGCTTCACCCAGTGAAGCACATGCTTTGCTAGGAGGGCCTGAGTCCCATCCTTCTACATATGGGAGCAGATAGTTTGAATTTTAAACCCTCCAGTGAGATGTTCAATACACACGTTCCTTACATGCACAGACTGAATTGTTCGTGCCTCATCCATGTGCTGTTTCTGGGGAGCACAAAGGAACGCTCCACATCATTCCTGCTCTTCGTGCTGCAGCTGTTTGCTTTCGTGTGTTCAGGTTTGCAAAACCTGCTCATTCAGAGCAATCCGCTGTCCCAGCTGCCCAAGGATTTGGGCAGCCTTCAGCAGCTGGAGCTGGTCCTTGTGGATGGGAACCCTACGACAGGTCCTCCGACTGAAGCGTGCTGTCAGGGGACATCTGCCATCTGGGAATACTTACAGGAAAAAAGGTGTAAAAAGGCCATGAACTCAAGGGCGTTAAGAAAGCCACCCCAATATACATACAAAGCTGTGCTTTTAGTAATAGATACTTTACAGAACAACCTACAGGGCGCTCTATGCAACACCAAAATCTCCTTAAACCACCGTTTCCATCAGCTATGGCAGAACAGTACTTCTATCATGGATCATGTTAAGGTAGGATACAGGAAACCATCAGGAAATACCCCATTTCCTGGGGCATCGTTCAAAAACATACCAGAAGGTTGTCGCTGCCCGGCCAGGTCACAGTCAGCAAGCACAGAACAGCCCTAACAACTTGCAAGGCAGCTTTCCTTAGTTCCTTGTCCAGCGGGAGGGGAATGGTTAGTGCGTCTAAAAACACATCAGATCCTCTGAGTCAAGGCACTGCTTGAAGAGGAAACTAACTGCAGGTGGCATCTTCACTCTTGCTGACTGTATTTTCTATACAGAGATCATGTAGAGAGTTGAAGATCAATTGTTCAAACACACTGAACAAAACACAGTTTTTTGTGTGTGGGAGGTTTTCTTGGTGGTTTTGGTTTTGTTGTTTTTTTCCAAAAGAACATCAGTCTGGATCACCAGTGGGCCGTGGTTAATTTGCTCAGAAAAAATACAGGGCAAGAAGGAAGGAAAGGCAAATCCTCAGTCTTTGATTCTTCTGAACTTAAATTATTCCTCTCTTTCTGTAAAGTCTGTAATTTCTTCATGAACTACTGTGTTTCTCCCAAACTGTTCTTCTGAACTAAAATGCAACATTTAAAGATGTGTAGACATAGCCATTTACTACTCTGATCCAAGCATCTGAAGGACCACAGTGTTAGTGTCCTCCCTGGTAAGAAATTTTTGAAAGATATAACACGGAGGAAGGAAGAGTCAGGTGGCTGGCAGTCTATCTTAGCTGCAAACAATGTAGTCTGATACAGACTAAAAGGGGTTTTTTGAGACCACAATGTGCCTGGCTTTCTGCATCAAGAATATCCACCAGTTATACCATTCCACATGACTGTCTGCTTTTACCCTTTTCCTCCAGGTAACCAGATTGTTCTTGTCTCTTTTTTCAGATCTGAAGTTTGTGGCGTGGGTTGATGAACCAGAAGGGGTTAGGACCTTTCTTGACACTTAAGAATCTAGCGGGGCAAAAAAAGAAAGAAAGAAGGAAAAGAAAGGAAAAGTAAAGGGCAAAGAGAAGCCTGTAGAGGGGTCAAAAGCCAAAAAGTTACATTTGGGCAGCAAACTGCACCTTTCATTTACCAGAAGGGCAAATGAGAGCAGAGGTAAGCGAGGAGGATACAAGCAGTATTAAAGCATTTGAATCAGTGAGTGCTACAATGAAAACATTATTTTTTGAGGTTTGTTTTTATCAACATTGACTCCAGCTGAATCAGGCAGATTCTGAAATATTCTTGAGCCGTCTTGTTCTGAATGGATGTTATCCCAAAGCATAATGGCAGCTGGTTAACTGGAAATTAATCTCACCTATAGGGATCTGGTGCAAATGATTCTTTGTTCTGAATTCCAAAGCGTTTTACATACAATTCTTAGAAATCTGTTTTCCAGTCAGTGAGGTACAGCCATATCCAGAGTGAAACAGTATTTGCAGCCCCACCTACTTGCAGTTATTTAATGAGTTTTCCGTTCAGAGACAATCAGTACTTTGTTTGGAAATACAGAGGAGGAGGATTCCAGGCAGTCACTACCAGAACCTGCATTAGCATCCTGTCTTACAGAGGTGTAAAAAGCTGTTTTGAAAGTATCTCTACACTTTCGCAAAACTGTTCACTGATGTTTTGACAGTCTGCAGTTACGGTGTTTTGTATGACTGCAAGCTGTCAGATCCTTAGTGTTACAGCTCATCTCCGAGATAGCTTGGTGACAGGTTGTAAAACATCTGTGTACGACAGGCTTGTTTGAAAGCAGGGAGTCTGCAGAATGCGATACTCTGCAGCGATTCTGGGCTCTGGCGTGTCATAACACCTTTGTTACTCAAAAGCACCACGACAAACACTCATTACTCTAATTGTAGCGTGCCAAATTTATATGCAACCATGTCTTTCTGCAGCACTTTACAGAGAGCCGTTTGTCCTAGACATCTGATGTCCTTGTCTAGTTTTTATTCTGTATTGCTCAGGTGCTCCTTAAACCCTTCCAGAGTTCTATCTGCAGCATACATAAAGCACAGAGCTGGGCTGGGACCAGCCCCTGGGCAGATTCAAAATGCACGAGTGGGTGGGAGCAGAACCCTTTATTTAGTTTAGTTGCCTGGTAGGAACTGCAGTCCTGCTCTCCCTCCCCTTGTCCGAGTTGCCTCAGAGAAGGTGGTGGCATCCTGAAGGAGGTGGTGAAGGCAGGGTCACCGAGACCCAGATCTTCCTAGAGCTCCACCTCCAGGCAGTGCCCTTTGAATGCTGCAGCTCCATCTGCATCCAGGGTACGGCTCTTGTGTCTGTTTGGCTCTTGAATCCATCGATACTGAAATCTCATTAATATGCTCATTGGCAGGAGAGAGCTGGGAGTGCAGGGAAGTGGGATGGCTCGGTTTTGATTTTCCATTTTACTAGGTAACTGATGCTGTTTTGATTGTTTGGAGGTGTCATGAAATTTTTTTCACTCCAAGTGAAGGCAAGGAAGAACAGAGAGAAGGATGATTCAGAGACTACTGAGGAGGAAATCATTGGGAGAGAGAGATTTCCAGGAAGACTGGCAGATAGACAGGACACTTAATAGAAGTGATTTAAATAAAAGCTTTTTAGCAGCACAGTAGGTATGACAGAATCACGAGAGGGCAATGGACTGAGAAGGGAATCATGAACAGCAAGCGGAAAGGTTGCTAGCAGTCAGTCCCCACCGTGCTCTGGAGCTGAGAATGAGGATCCCAAGTATGGCATGGCAAGAAACCCCAACACTAAAATCCAATTCAGGGAGACTACAACCAACACTGGACATTAAACATAGGCCAGCTGCTTTACTGAATTAGAGAGAGAGGTTCAAGTGGGAAAGGAGCAATTCAGAGACATTCTGACAGAACAGAAAAGGGATCAATTTCCCAGTTGGACCAAAGGGAGGTTTGAGGAAGAAAGTCAGAGGAAGGCAAAGTGATTACGAGAAGAGGTTGGTGTGCTGCTGTTAAACAGAGATGATGGTACTTCCACATTAGAATAACTCCCCTGGCTTAAGTCACTGCTTGAAGGTCCCTCTTTTTAGCTCTGTATGAAACAGGGGGTCTTTGCTTCATTTCAGAGGTTGAGGATCGCTGTAGAAAACAACTGATCCCACACTGCAGCAGTTCCCTGCTACCTCTGACCCAGACACTACACCTCACATTTCTCAGAGTCAAGTGGAACTGAAACTGGAACAGGAAGTCCCTAGAGACCCTCACACGAAATCATGGATTAAATGATCGAGAGGCATCTGCACAGCATGGTCAGCTGCTGGTTATAACCCGGAGCAGCCAGAAGTTGAGGTTGGAAGGGTCTCCCGGAATGAAAGCTGAACATTGATCTGCATCTGCATGGGAGAAGTTGCTGAGAGGGGTCCTAGTAAGTTAGGGAAGTGCCACTGAATGATCCTGTTGTGCCTCTGCTCCAGGAGCTTGCCGCAGCATGTAGACATACTCAGGGCTAATTGAGCAGTACTTTATCCCTCAAGCTGCCTCAGGATTTCTCTAAGACTTCTCACTCAGTGGGCAGATCTAATATCTTTACTTCCTAAAATACCTTACCAATGAATAATCCCACTGCAGTCTTTGAGCTCACGTGTGGGTTAACATGCCCCATGACACGAGTGACTACGCCAGAATTTGGCTCTGTGTAAGCAAATGCAATAAAATGACAAATAAGCAATTATCAAACCAAAAAGAAGGAGCCACTTACACGTCCCAGGTTGGTGCTTTTTCTAACAGGTCTTGGGTACAGAGCAGGGAGCTGTGCTCTTAGCTATAAGATGCCCTGTGGCTTTGAATAATGGACGTTGATTATTTCCTTCATCTTTAGGGTAAGGATAAGAACACTGTCGACATCACAAGGTGTTGTGAAGGTTAATGGATTAATCCTGAATGCAGGAGGCATGAAGGCACTGTGGAGACTCCCACTGGCTTTCATATGCTCTAGATCAGACTCTTAGATCAGGAAGTTTGGGGTTGTGCTGCATGTCACAAAAGGGTCTGTACAGAAAGCACAGTTTGGGTAAGGTTGAAACAGCTCAGGATGAGAAGGAGCACCCCTGAAGTATGCTGAAGTCGTTGCATAACTTTATCCAGAATGCTTATGGATTGCTCTGTATCCAAAATCCTTGCTAAGGTAGCAGGATATATCTCTGATTTAATCTACCGCAGCATTTCCCTTGCCCCTGAGACATGCAAAGACACCAATCAGCTGTTTCTTACCTTGATTTTATGCTGATTCTGCACACAGGACTCACCTACACTATGAGATGGCATCAAGGGCCAGAGCAGAGGCAGAACAGCTCCTTCTGTATTCTCCTTACTGGACTAACATATAATCCTGAGTTGTCGGGATGCTTTCCAAATCTCACAACTAGGTAGATTTAATGCATTCACAAAGAGGCAAAAGTTTTGGGGGAGAAGAAACTAAAATTTAAAACATAGAGGTTTCAATTATCACATTAGAGGCATTTTCCTTCTATACACAAGGCCACATTCACACTGCCCACCCACCTGCATTAGCACACACCCCAGCCACTTCCCTCCACCGGGAAACCTGCAGCGTGTCCATCTGAAATCATCACTGCTCTTTTGACGGCAGGCGTTGCAGGAGTCACAACACAAAGATAAAGCAGATATAGGCAGTGTAAGCATGGCCCAGAGGATCTGAAAGAACAGGTTATTAAATGGAATGATCTTCGCATGCAGAAGGTTAAATAACAGTTCTATATAACTGTGGAACTATTTTAAGAGCTCTCATGAGATGAGACTACTAAAAACTGGGCAGTCTTTTAAGTCAGAGACACGTAATACTTGGTTCACGGGCTGCTTTGTGAAAGGCCTTCCAGAAACCTTCAACCTTCATCAACAGTCAAAACGAATGTTTCTTTCGTGGTCTTGATTAAAGCTTTCCAGTCGTTTTCGCTGTGACTCTGAAAGGATCCACCTTTGCATCCCCAGCTCTGCCAAGGCGGGCAGCTTCGTCAGGGCTGCTAACAACTCGCTGAACCACGTCCCACAGTCACGGCAGGACGATGGGCGAAGACTGACATCCAGCTCCGAGAGTTCTTTGAATACTGCTAAGCCTTGACAGAAAACGGCCCACCCTTCGTCAGAGATGTTGTTGTTATAACTCAAATCCAGCTTCCGTAATCTGGCTAGATGGCCGTCCTGCGTCAGCAACGCTGCAAGAAATGACAGACACAACTAATACATCCTAGCAATTGCTTTAAAAGCTTATAAGTAAGAAGAGTAGTATTTTAATACCACACCATTTAAGGCTTTTCAGCAGTCAAACAGCAAGATTCAACGCCTCAGCAACATCGAATCACTTGCTGCCGATCTCAGAAAGACTCTTTTACGACAGCTGAAGGAGTGTATAACATTTAAAACACAGGGAATTCCAAAGGAACAGAAGCATTGGGTTAAAATTGTACGGCAACCTGGAAAGCTTTGAGCCAGTTGGAAGGAGGTTATATCAAGAGCCAATTAAAATAGGCAGACACACTTTACAGGGAGATTTAGAAAGAGGGAAGCAAAGCTAGATGAGGTTGCATGATTACAACTGCCACCTCTCACTGTGGGAGGGTAATGGGCCTAATACACCCTAAAGGGAACTGGGATCCTTAAAGTATGATTGGCAAAGGAGACATCCATCAAGGGTGCTGTTTGTAAAGCCAAAAATATTCAGGCTTCATCTCACCAGCCTTCAGATTACAGGGCCTTAATAGCTGTCACGCAGCTAGTGCCAATCTCAGACACTCAAAACCCATGAGTCAGGCTCACAGAAATCACAAGGACGATTATAAAATGAACAGGTCTTTAAAAGGATCCTGGAATTTATTCCTTCACCAGGTTCCCATTTTCCAGTATTTCTCAGCAGCTGCTAAGAGGTGGGTGAAAATATTTCTGTTTTAATTCTCCCACAATAGTTTGACTCCAGAACCACACCTAATGGACTGAGAGCTGGTAGTGCCTGCATTGCTGGCTGTCAGCACATACATTTTCTATAAATTACTGACCCCAAAACCAGCAACTGAGCAAAATAAAACCCCTCAGAAGCCACTTTAAATATCTCATATGAGATATCTCTAAGCGCTGCCTTTTTGTATTAATAGATGAAATTGCTAAAAGATTCTTTGCCT